CAGCCGTTGTTTTAGTTTTCTTGATCCAACACCTTTACAATGGAGAAATTCACATTCGATCACTTTATCAAACTCTGACATCTTCAAAACTTCTTTACCTTTCTTCCCACTGATCTTCCTAACGTTGAAGTATTTTTTGTTTCACCAAAATCAGATACAGGCAGATTTCTGAGTTCTTGCCCTTGCAAGAACTGGAATATTAAACGTTCCTTCACACAAACTGACTATTGTTTGTGGTTTCATACGAAGTGTCATCTAAGGGCGTTGTTTGCCTTTTCTTCTCTTTCCCTACTGAACTTAAGTCAAAAAATGACTAAAGAAAGTGAAAGCAGAAGGACAGTAGTCTTCAAGATGTCGAGATCAGTGAACTAGACTGCTTATCACTAGACCTCACAGCAAGCTACACATGGAGCCATCCAGACATAGTCTAGACAGAAGACCAGATGTCTAGACTTGGTAACTTACATTTCAAATATGTTTTTATCATTGATATGTTTTTCTCCACAATGGAACACCATAGCTTAATTAAATTCTACTGCTTGAGGTATTACTTTTGTTTTATTCATGAGGCAAACTGACTCTGAAAGTGTGAAACATCTATGTGTAGCAATGGACAGTAGACTTATTGACAGCATATGTAAGAAAGCCAATTAAAGAATTAGTGTGGTGATTAGTTAAACCAGCTTGCACCTGAACGTCTTCAACCAAATAGTCGACAATTTTAAACCATAAAGGAAACTGAATGTTAACCTCACAAATTGCATTCAAATTTTGCTGACCTGAACAGCCCAACAAAGGAGTGCCAAAATAGTTTGAACTCAGCGCAGACACTTTGAATGCACTCATCTGAGTTCAGAATTATTTTATTACAAGGCGGAATTTGTTAACCTCTCTACAACGGCCACCTCTCCACAGCTGCAACGGTCACTAAAGTGCATCCCAACTGCTGAAATAACCTCACAACAACAGCTAGTTAAGGTTGGGGGGGGGGGGTTAATATGAATTTAAGTGAAATTTTAGGAAGTTTAAAGAGGGATAAAAGGAAAAAAAAGGTTTTGGAACACCACCAGATAGTTGAACGCCCCCGAAAGGGCACCCCAGGTTGGTGGGCAACTGTTTGGTGTACGTCTACTAATTTTTAACTTCAAATTCTACTTTTAAAACAACATCAAATCTTCAAAATTTCCTCTCTCCATAAATTTTACTAATCCTTTGACAAACACTATTTATCCCCAAAACATTTACAAAACCAGCCCAAAACATAGATATGTAGGATGAGCAGTCAGATTTGTGACTGCTTGAAATGTGAACATTAGATATTTGTGTTAAAACCATAATACCCAGTCGAAATACGGTCTTCGTGTGAACCCCCGCCTTAATCAATAATAAAGTGCATTCATTCATACATTCATTCATTCAGTCAGTCAGTCATTCATTCATGATCATTCCAACTAAAAACGGATAGAAACTGGAAATGTCAGAAGTTCACAAAACCTACAATTTCAGTTCATTTTTTCTCAAGGTTCCAGTAAATAAGTGTTTTGTTATTTACCAAGTGTCAGAGAATACAACAGAGAGGTCTCATGCAATAATTAAATTAAAAAAATAGCATGATTAATTTTCCCTTATTTATATTTGTATTTCATCATCATCATGCATCATCTTTATTAGGTCGGTAAGAGCCAGTTAAACAACACACCAAAAACACACCAAAAACACACCAACCACTTACAAAATATAGAGTAAATTGAGTTATTTACATGTCCAGCAATAATACAGTCAAAAGAATAAAAATTAGCTATACTTATCTACAAGTTCTCATTAAACTAATAAGATGTAATGAAGAATGTCAGGGAAGAGCTGATTCCAATCTTTAGCAGTTCTTGGGA